AAACTTACTTCGATTAAACTTGAAGGAGCGTTTAATCGAATCTCCCTAACTCTCGAACAATGTTATTCTCTCGTGTATGTAGAAGAGAAAAATCGGCCAAGACAACTATGTAGGAGAGATTGAGACATGGTGTATTTATAGGCTCCATTAGGGACCTTAAGGAGGTGCTAAATATGGGCTTATTCCATTAGGCCTAGGAATAGTAATTCTACTCCAATACTAATTTAATGTAGGAAGAAAATCGTCTACTAATCTCCATCTTCTAGAAGACTCCTAAGTCTCCTAACACTAGAGAAGATCCTTGTAGGAATATCTTTCCTAATTAATTTAATAATCATGGAATAAAATTAATTCCTAATTTAGGAAACCTAATTTTACTCCAATTAATAATATAATGTAGGAAATATATTCCCTACTAATCTCCATCTGCTAGAAGACTCCCAAGTCTCTTAATCCCAAGAGAAGATTCTAGTAGGAATTTTATTCTCCTAATTAATTAATGAATATAGAATAAAATTAATTCCTATTTAATGGAATTAAATAATAAAACATCCCACTAGAGTAATATTATTGCTCTCCCCATTTAGCCACTATTTTTCAAATAAAATCGAGCCTCCATGATTAAACAATATTAATTTGATTGATCGATTTACCTCCCTATGTTTAAGATATAACGTCCGTTGATTAATTAAATTACTGACAAAATAATTAATCAACTTCTTATTCATTTCTGAAATTAGTACCACTAAGACCTTAACCATCATGTCAGACAATCGTCTACCTGCAGGGTTTAATATAATATTCCTTTATGAGCTCAGTTCAGGGACTTCATCAATCCACCGCACTGTAACATAGTGACCGTAAAAAAATTATAATAGCACATCATATAATTATTCTTACTTACCAAAATACCTCGTATGTCATACTAATAAAATAGAATCACTTGGTAAATCAAATAAATAAGAAATAAAAATATATGCCTATTTTATATTATCTTACATCTTAAGAGAACACATCAATCACTGAAGGACTAGGTCACAACAACGGTCAGTGAGTCTCATATCATTATCCTTCCGTGGTCCTATTCAACACTTAACATAAGTGCTAGTGTAATCTTTCAGTCAAAGACCAACTGAATCAAGAATACACTACAGTCTTTTTCCAAGTGTGGTCTCACTGCCAGTCTAGACTGTGAACGAATAGTTTAGTCTTATCAGGAACCGATAGGTGATCTTTCTGTTCGAAACTCTTCAAAGCACACTACCTCAATATAAGACATGGAGTATGTATTGCATAAATAAATAAACTGCAAATATATGTACTTTGACCGAAACATGATTGCCAGATCAAAATGGAATTGATAGAATCTGCAAAACATCGCTTTTACAGCATACCTCTAACAGAAAATGTATCAGAACTTGAGGAAGTCTTTCTGGTGGCGAGGCATGAAGAGGCAGGTAGCGAGGTTCGTGGATGGATGTCTGGTGTGTCAGCAAGTGAAGGCTGAGCACCAGAAACCGAGAGGGTTGTTGAGGCCCCTTGAGGTTCGCATGTGGAAGTGGGAGTGCATCACCATGGACTTCTTGGTGGGATTGCCTAGATCGAGGTCCGCGTATGATTCTATTTGGGTGATCGTGGATCGACTCACGAAGTCTGGCCACTTTCTGCCAGTTCGGACGACCATGAAGGCGAGTAATTACGCCGAATTTTTCGTCAAGGATGTAATAACCCATTCAGTTATTAGTATTAAGTATCAGTTTATCTTCAAGATTGAGCTATTTTTGAGGCCAAATAAGTTAAGATTTTGAAGTTTTATTGTCACCCTGGTCGTGTGGGTAGCCACTCGGGTCGTGTGAAGTCGGGTCGTGTGACAGGCCACACGGGTCGTGTGGCTCAAGACACTGTTCAAGTTCAGTTTCGGCATTTTCACACGAGTCGTGTGACTCAAAGTCACACGGGTTGTGTGAAATCACATTGGTCGTGTGACTCAAGTCACACTGGTCGTGTGTGGTCACACGGGTCGTGTGACCGACAAAAATGATCAGATTGTCATTAACTCATTTTTGGTGGCAACTAAAGTTAATTTTGAGCATTAAATTAAGAAAAGCTGATGTTATAATGTTAGGTAAGGATATATTTAAAGTGATTAATTTTTACAAGTTTAAATCGTTTAATATTTTAATTTCTTCACTCCAAAGTATTTTATTCTAAAATTTTGCCTATAAATAGAGGGCTTCAAAATCCGAATTTTTACAACAAAGAAATATTTCGAAGTCATATAAGTTCTTTAGTTATGGAAATTATAAAGTGAAGAATTTTTGGAGTGGAGGATCAAAATTTTCAAGTTCAAGTTCTAGCATGTTTTCAAGTTCAAGTTTTCAAGAAGGAGGTAATTATTTATCTTAACTTCATGTTTTATATGAGTTAAGTAGTTATTAGCATATATGTTGATAAATATGAAGTTGAAATTATAATGGAGTTTATGAATTCAATGAGTTTAAGTTATGTGTAATAATGAAAATAAGAATTAAGTTGTTTTAAGTTAAGATATAGATTGAGCATATTATTGGATCGAGTTTAAGTTGAGAATGAATAGAATTTACATATTAATTTAATATGTGATGTTATCACCTTCATTATATGTTAGAATGTAAATTCTTATAGTAGTAATGAGTAATTATTGTGTAGATAAGGAGTATTTATGAACAAGAATTGAGTTATTTGACATGTTATAATTTGAGATAAAGATTTTGAAGTTAGCATGCAAAGTGAATTTCATGATATTAAGTTGAGAATTGAATGTGTTATTATGATTAGATGGCATATATTATGTATTTCATGGTAAAGTTTCAAGAGCACTTGATATGAAATTTCTCATACTATTAAGTGATGAGTAAAGTGATCAAGTTTTAGTTTAATATGTTGAGAATACAATTTTATATAAATTGTTTTATGTTTTGCTTATTAATATCATGAATTAAGTGTTATGATTTGATGTTATGATGGTATGAGAACTAAGTTATACTTTTCATTGCCAAGTAAGTTTAAGACAAGTTTAATAGTTATAAATCATGTATTTGATGTTGGTATAAGTTGAGTATGTTGAGTTATATTTTTCACTTATAAGTTATATGAGAATAAGTTAATGTCATATATTTTAAAGACATGAGTTATATGAGTATTTGATTGAGTTTTAGTTGAATGTGTTAAGAAGAAAATTCTATGAATTATTTCAAGTATAGTATATTGATATCATAATATGGTTTTGATGAGTTTTAAGTTACCATTTTTTATTACTAAGTAAGTTTAAGATGAGGTTTGGATCATGAATTTATGTATGTGGAATTTCGTTATTTTCACTTTCAAGTTATTTAAATGGTATATGAGTTTATACCAACATCTAAGTTTCAAAATCATGATTCATATGGTTTAAGTTCGGTATTAAGTAAAAGTTTAAGAATTTAAGATGTTCAATGAATTAATGTTCATTTGAGCTATAGCCGAAATTATCTTTAAGATTCGGATAAGTTATCAGTTAAAGTTAAGAATCCCAAAGTACTATTGAGAATACTATGAACATAGTACTTAGTATATTTGTTTATATTTTTTATGTAGTTGCAGATACAACTACCAGTACAACACTTACAGTTTTCAAAAGTTTTCAAGAAGAAAAGGTGGGGACCCAGACTGGGTATTACATTGATTATAATAGCTATTACCATGTTCGAGGTATGTATAAAGTTTTAAGTTTAGGGTGGAGGCCAAGGCCTTAATATGCCATCCTAAAGTTAAGCAAAGAATTAAGCTCACCCAGTCGAGACTTGGTTCTGAGGGAGGCAACCCCCAGAATGTGATCACGTGAGAACCGGGCCAAGTTACCGGTAGGTTCAAAGTTCAAGTTAATGTTAACGGTCAGATACCGGGAGATTAAGCTCAGATATATAACAAAGATCATGATATTGATATTATAATTATTGTTTACTTTAGTATGGGTTTTTACGGAGTACAGTGGATTAGTACTCACGCCCCACTATTATCATTTTCAGGTAACAGGGTCAGTGCAGAGGTGTGAGATCAGCTATGTGTTGGTGTTATATACTTAAGCTTTGCTTTAGTGGATATTTCACTTGTTATT